TAATAAAAACACAAAAAAAAAACCCATCAATGTGTTAGTGTAGTCTTTGCCTTCTGTGGGGAAGTTGTGATCTCTGAGTGCTCTTGTTCATCATGATATCTTAGCACAGAATTTATAATGAGCACTGATTGTTTCAGATGCATTCTGGCCACCGACATGTCGAGGCACAATGAGGTTCTCAACAAGTTCAAGTCCATCCTTCCAGTGTTTGACTTCACCAACAAGGACCACAGAGACGTGGTAAGACTACAGAGCACCGTGAAAATTTGGAAGCATGTATACATCTATTTACTGTTGTTGTTTGTGCAGCTAATGACGATCCTGATCAAAGTGAGCGACATATCCAACGAGGCCCGGCCCATGGAGGTGGCTGAGCCCTGGCTGGATTGTCTTTTACAGGAATTCTTCAACCAGGTACCGACTCCTGCTGAACTTTGTCAAGACATTTCAAAGTGACAATATGATATGATGCTGTTTTTGATGAGATATCTGTAACTTAAAGAGGGATGTTTTGGAGCACAGTGACCTGAACTCTAAATGTTTTGGCTCTACCATGAGATTCAGGGACGGTCCAGCTGATTTTTGAAGGGCAGAGACAAACTGTGAGGTTCTTTATAGACACAGTCTGTTATCAAGTTGTGTGAGAATTTATTTTTCAGATGATCTGACCTTGTTGGTGCAGTTCATTATAACAAATGCAGAGTAACTTCACTTTTTAAAGCTACAGAAACTAAAATATATTACCTTTTAAATTCAAATGTTAAATCCACCGTGGCCTTACAGTAATGAGGGTGTGCCACACAGCTGAACACCCCTTATAAAGCAATAGAAGTAAACTAAGTTAAGTGGGTCAAATCTGTCTCCTGTCGTTCTGTCAGAGTGATGTGGAGAAGTTGGAGGGCCTTCCCGTTACCCCCTTTATGGACCGGGACAAAGTTACCAAACCTTCATCTCAAACAGGCTTCATCAGATTTGTTCTTCTGCCTCTCTTCATCGAGCTGGCCAACCTCTTCCCCTGCCTGGAGGTATTAAAATCAAAAGTATGGAGAAAATGTACTGTATGTACTTCTTTGAAAGCATCTTTGCAAAATTTAATGAAGACTTTCACAGGAAGGTGTCCAAAACATCTTAAATAAGTGGCTCAGATGAAAAGAAAAGACTAAAATAAACAAAAAAAAAACCCTAATTGGTGTGAAAGGCAGCACAGGTAAACAGTGAATGGTGAACAGTGTAAACAGGGTAAGATTTACAAAATAAAACAGGAAATTACTTTACAGAAACCCGTCCTCAGCAAGTGTTAAAGTACAGCCGGCCTTTTTCTACAGTAAGGAACTCATAAATGGTTAAATTCAACCCATGTTTTTTGGTAAATTGTAATCAGTTTAAACTTTTTTTGCAATAATTCTGCAGCAACACATTATTGATCCCGTCCGGAAAGCTCTCGACTACTACACAGAGATGGAGAAAGCTCTGGAGACGGAGCAGCAGAACCGGGCTCAGAGCGAGAACGCAGCCAAGAGCAAGGAGGCAGCGGGAGGCCGACAAGACAGCCAGACGGACGCCGGGCCAGACACCTCGGAACCAGAGTCACAGTTAACATGAATGATTTCATATCAGTTCACTGTCATATTGATTATTTGGTGGACTAAACGTCCTGTGATGTAGTTTCTCTGCATGCAGCGTTGATGTAACTAGAATAGAATAACATCACATTCAACAGAAGTCTATTTTAAAATAAATCTGTTTCTCACAGAATGTATTTTATGAAAGAAACATTATTTGTAAAGGATCATAACACTGCGTTGTTACTCTGGTGCTGAAGTACCCATGAAAACGCTATGTTGTAATGACTGCCGCTGTTGTTTGTTTGTGTGTGTGTGTGTAGGTGTGGCCTGATTTCTGGTCTAGTTTGCAGTTAATAAAACACACACAGGGAGTTTGCTGTACTGTGTATTGTTGTCATTGTTCTATCTGTAAAAAAAAATGGGTTAAAAAGTGCTAAAGACTTGAAAACTGAAAGACGATAATTTAATGCCAAACCAACCAATCAAGCAAGTGACATGACCCTAACCACAAAACTGTGTTAGCCAATCAGAAATGTTAATATCCAGGTTAGCTAAACATTTGACCTTGACCATCATTGCTAGCGCTCAAGATCAAAGTTGACCTTGAAAAAAAAAAAAGTCAACAAATGATCCAACCATACATTATCTTATCTGCTTATCCTTATCAGGGACACTGATGGGCTGGTAAAGAAACCATATCAAATAATATTTCGAGTCGTAGGTGGTTGCAATGTTACTATAACAGGCTGATGTCATCATGTTGGAATAAGAACACCATAAAACATCAAAGTTTTAGTTTGGTTCTCTTGTTTTGCTGTTGTTTAACAGAGACTTTGAATGAAACAAATGCCTGATTATCAGCAGGTGCAGGATGCATTACTGGACACTAGGTGGCACCATACTGCAGAGCTCAGAAAGATCAGCTGGGACCAGAAGTTCAGTCAGAGGGAATCACAGCTTTGTCTCCAACAGGAAGTTCAACTCTTAGCCACCGGTATCTTTGTTAGAGGCTTCCTTCTCATCTGCTTTTAATGTATATTCAGTTTGGTGCACTTTCAGAATGAATTACCCAGCAGTGTGATATATTTTTACCTTTACACAATAAACCTTCTCTAAAATGTTGATTGTTTACTTGTTTTAGAGGTATTGACATCACTTTAAGACTGTTCTTTCCCCCTCGGGAAGACAAAAGACGCCGTGGTGTGTGGGGCCTCTGGCTTCTCTCGCCTGAATGAACGCTGGTATGTGCTCTGTACTTGCAGGGGGTCACCATTCATTCTTCTAACGCCAGCAAGCAATGTGACCCGGAGCAAGTTTGGCAGCGGGGAAGAAGTCCCAGAATAGTGTTCCTCTTTATCGTTTTTTCAATGACAGAATCAGCTATTAAAGTTTGCTGGTAGCAATCCCATCACAGCTCAGAGCCAAATACAGATCTGTTCTTTTTATAGGCTTCTCATAATCAGAGGAAAACTCTGAGTGAAAGAAGAGAAGGGCAGGCAAACGTCGTCACCCAGAGCTGCTGCAACAGCTGCTGACAGCGAAGGACTCAGATTGAGAGATGATCCATTTACAAAACCCACTTGAATAAGATTAAAACTCCTAAGAACCCTAAAAAATCAAATATTTAGTATTTAGAGGACTTGTATTTGTGCACACAAATAAAATCCGGAAAGATTAACGCTTTAAAAACTTGGAATCAGCTTTGAATCTTTGATCTGCATAAAGATTCAAAGCATGGCTGTGGAGCTACTTCAGACAGTTATCCAGTGACTTCTAAACGTCTGAGAATTAGCGCTTGTGTGTGCACTTCAGTCCACACTGTCTGGTTTAAAATCCACTGTGGGGTTGTACAGAGGTAGTGGGCCCCACAGTGGCAAATACACATGACCCTGACTGCATGATTGTAAAGTTCATGAAACCCAATCTCAGAATGAATGAGCAATAAATGCTAATCAGAAATATAAAGACAGTTATCCGTTGACTCTATGGACTTCCCCGTATAATCTCGGGTCATCCAGTTCCATGTTTTTGGTGTTTCAAACTGCAGCTGCTCGACTTCCAAGTGATCTGTCGGAAGGACAACAAGTGTTCCAGCCCAGCTGCATGAGCTGAGGTCATTTTTACACAGTCTTTGAAGGTCTCTGTGAATATGCTCCACAGCAGATTACACATCAAATCAAACCCCATCCTCTGCCTCCAGGTGATCCCCTAAAAACTAAAGGTGACCAGGCTCTGGAAAAGTGTGATGGCCCACATGAAGGTTCAAGGTTCAAGGTTCTTTATTTGTCACATGCATAGTATACAAGTAAACACACATGAAATGTAGCCTGACACGCTCCCCGACATGTGCAAAAAAATGGGGGGGGGGGGGGGGGGGGGGGGGGGTGGGGGGGGGGGGGGGGGGGGGGGGGGGGGGGGGGGGGGGGGGGGGGGGGGGGGGGGGGGGGGGGGGGGGGGGGGGGGGGGGGTGTAGAGGAAAAACATTATAATATAATATATATATATATATATACACATATAGTAATACATGGGTGAATGGCAGTAGTAGCAGCAAGCAGGTGAATTCTGACATTAATAGAATAGACATCTGACTATTTACAGGATAGACAATATAAACATATTTAAAATTAAAGGAATGAAATGTACATTGTGCCTTGGTTAGAGTGTCTGGAAGAGTCCCTGTCTCAGTCAGTTATAGATGATGTGAGAGGCGGGTGGTGTGTTTAGGCACGGATGGCTTGGGAAGAAGCTCCTCTTGAGTCCTCTGTCCTTGCCCGAAGATGCGGAACCCTCTACCAGATTGCAGAAGTTGGAACAGTTTGTTGCCAGGATGGGACGGGTCTTCAGATCGCGCTGCTCTAGTCCGCATCTCCTGGTGTAGGTGTCCTGAAGCGGGGGAGAGCAATCCTGCAGCAGCGTCTGCTGTACGATCACCCTGGAGAGCTTTTTGGTCCTTCACACAGCTGTTCCCAAACCACGATGTCATGTTCTGTGTGAGGATGCTCTCCACAGCGCCTGTACAGACATGAAGGCCATGTCTGAGGGTTCAACTGTGAAGGTTATCTGCCCCAAATTTATTATTTTTTAAATATTTACTTTATTGTTTTTATTATTATTATTTGGAGATGTTTAAAGATGTTTCTGTTATGTAGAACTTTTTTTAATGATATTTGATATTAATTTTTTTTTTTTTAATGTGGTTTTTTTTTTGCATTTTTGAATAAGATCCAGATGTTTTAAAATTCCGTTATCTATTATTTTTAGTTACTTTTGGTTTTATGTGTCTTCGTTTTTTTTTTGTTTTTTGTTTTTGTTGTTGTTTGTTTTGGGTGAACTTGACCCTCACAGCTGATTGGTCGGAGTGTGACCAACGCCTTCTGAGCGAGCAGCCAATCGGAGACTGCGCTCGCTGCGGGCCGGTTCCGGTGATCGCAGAGGAGGAGGTCTGTGTCAGTGTGCACAGCTGTCCTTCTCCACCTCACCGAGGAGTCGTGTTAGATTAAAGCAGAGATTCACCGGCTGTGTTTAACACTCGTTTTAAAGAAGAAGAGAATAAAAATGGACCCGCTGGTTGCTGCTATTGATCAGGGCACGAGCTCCACGAGGTTTCTGGTGAGTTTTAGTGAAGTTTCGCTGTTTTCATGTTGTGTTCAGGGCCCGGGAGCAGCTGGGACAGCAGACTACGGAGACTCTGTCCTGTGCTCAGAGGCTTTGGCCAAACAGCTGTAATCGTGGATGAAGTGCAAATCACCACGTGACTTATGTCTGTGTTGTGCTCGGCTCAGAAACGAGCTTGAACATCACGATGATTCTATTTAAACAGAGATTTAAATAGAAAAAGCAACCAGTGGACTGGAGCAGCACACTGACCTGTAGCTTCCACCTGCTTTGGATGGGGTTCAGGTGCATCTACAAAGAGCTAAAATCAGTCCAGCTGAATGATCACTTTGAACAAATTTGGACTTCCTCAACCAGGTCAGCTGGAAAATCGAGCTTTGGCACAGAGCATGAGCAGTGAGGGGCTCAGAGGAGGTAAAAGTGCTGTTGGAGTGCACAGAGAGAAATTCAGATTTGTGGGTTTTTCTGACACGTAAGAGCTTCTACTCATAAATGAATCATAAATGAATTTCTTTTTGGTGCTTGAGATTTAAACGTCCACAGGTGCTGAACTCTCTGAAAATAAAGGCCTTTCCTGTGTCATCATCAGCTGACATAACGGTCGTTCTGAGCAGCAGTAAAACTTTAACCTAACGCCTGATTTTGACTCTTGATCATTTGGCTGCGGATCGACTGCAAAATTGTCACAGAGCCTTCGTTTGTGTATACATGTGTAATGATCTCATAAAAACAAACTTTACTGCGTCTTTACGGTGTTGCATTTGCTACTTTGTGGTCCTCCGTCATGGTGTTACTCCAGAACATAGATTCATAACATCCTAGAGGGTCTCAGTTGGATTCAGGTCTGGAGAATGTGAGACAAAGGCATCAGCGCTTCCATCATCCAGGAACTGCCTGCACACTCCGGGTACATGAAGCCAGGGATTGCCCTGCACAAACAGGAGGTCTGAGAACCTGGCATGTAACAGAAGTCAGGGTGCTGTTGGCTAGCACGTGGAGGCCTGCGTGACCCTCCAAGGATACGCCTCCCCAGACCATCACTGACTCACTGCCAGGCTGGTCATGCTGGATGATGTTACAGGCAGCATAACGCTCGCCACGGTGTCTCCAGACTCTGTGAACCTGCTCTCGTCTGTGAAGAGAAGAGAGCATCAGTGGTGGACCTGCCAGTTCTGGTGTTCTCTGGAAAATGCCAGCCAGGCTGTGAGCACAAGTCCCACTAAAATGCCCTCATGTGACCCTCACAGAATATCTGATATCTCAATCAGAGACATGCCTCTGACTCTGGCAGTACTCCTCCTGATCCGCCTCGCATTAATAAGCAGATACCATCCCTGCTGCTGGGTCTACTCCACGCTCCTGACACTGTGCCTGGAGACACGGCAAACAATCGGCTTCCCAACTGGACGCGAGTTTAGAAATGAGTACATGAGATGGAGCGCTCAGGGTGAGCAGTTTGGAGGCAAAATTAGAGAGGGAAGGCTGAGATGTTTGGATGTGTGCGGAAGAGGGAAAGGAGGAAGAGGAGGTTCACAGATGCTGAGGGTTGGGTGAGGGATGGGGTGAGATGGAGGGAGGTTATCTGCTTTGGCGACCCCAGAGGAGCGCAGCCAAAAAGAGAAGGAGAAGACCTGGAGACTTTGATATCCCTGACGTTTACCTGACTTTTAGTTATGCTCTGATGATCCAGCGTTCCCTTCCTTTTTTTGAGGTGTCATTAACAGTCAGAAGGGCAGAATACATGTCTAAGCTGTGGGTGGATGATTGAGAATCAGCCCTAGAGTCAGCAGCTGACAGTGGAGTTGAAATCAAGATGAGGAACTCAGAAGAGAAGCAGCTTTATTGTTTTATTTGTGTATTTGTCACAGATTGGGTCTGTGGGTGCAGAGGATGTTGTTTTATATGCTTATTAGTTTTTGAATCAGTGAGCGTGGCCCCGTCCTCTGTGGGACCGCAGCACTGATTGAAATTTGCAACGATCAGTATTTGTGAGGTCACATTTTTTTTTTGGGAGCAGGTAAAAAAAAACAAGTTCAGACTGAGTTCAGTTCTCATCAGTTTTCAGTAAGCGTGATGATTCAGACTTTTAACACTGATGGTGCAACTGAACTAAGATGACATCAGACATCCTCCTTGCATCAATGCTCTCTCTTTTTACAGGCTTAGTTTGTTCCTGTTAGATTTCCAGTGTAAAGTAAGTCAGGAAGTCTAAAGTTTAGACTTTAGGGTTGAAACTACTCTTGGATCACATGTCCTAAAAGCGTAACAAGGATTTCCTGTAGCTGAGTGAACGCACGGTGAGAGGAGGGTGGTGCTGCACGGAGCTTTATCCTATTACTTAATCAGAAGAAACGCTGACTTCTGTCTGACTGCAGGTGACAGGGAAAGTCCTGCCTCGTGTTAATTCCCTTCTTCTCTACAATACTCTGGCAGCACCCAGAGGCGATCGAGCCAGTGATCAATATCGTCTTTCCACTCCTCAGTGGGTGGAAGGAAAAACATAACTGGAAAAATTAAACTGTGGCAGCTTTAATTTGCTCCCTAATTAAATGAAGCTTTTAATATTTCTGTTCCTGCTTCTAATGAGCTGTGTTTCTCTGCAGGTGTTCAACGCAAAAACAGCTGAACTGATCAGTCACCACCAAGTAGAGATCAACCAGAGTTTCCCCAAAGAGGGGTGAGTGACTCGAACTTCAAATTATCACAATTAGACACTGTGTGTATCCACCATATTGTCCTGGTGCAACAGATTGCACACCTATGTGCAGTATTTATTATCTCTGCACACCCAGCCTGAGATCCGTGTTGCTTGAATAGTTGGTGGAATAACAGGATGCTTTGCACTTCAAGTCTTTGTGCACTCACAGGAGTCCAGTTTTCAGGTGACGGCTCAGTTGTCTACTGAGGCCGAAGCTGGTAAAACAAAAAAAACAATGCCATCAGGAAGCTGATGATAAAAACGCTGTCCTTTGATCAAATGTTACTCATTCAGCTGTGAAGCAGAGAGCAGAGGAGAGAAACTAATCACAGAGATTCATCACACTGGGCCTTCAATCAAATATGTGCACACGCTGAAGATAAAGAGCAGAAATACAGGAGTTTAGTTTTTATGTTTCATTTTTTTAAATGTTGGTTTCTTTGGGGATGTGCAGTTTGAATGTTCTTGAGAAAGCTGCAAGCCGTTGTTGAAAGGCACCGTGGCACAAAGTAAACACACTTCCATTCATTTTTGGCAACGCTGCGGTCAGGGGACTGCGAGGGCCACTGTAAAAGCTTCAGCTTGTCTTTCTCTGGGAGTAGTTCACAGATTATCCTTTGAGCTGTTGTCCATTTTATTTCACCTGCATGTCTGATAGCAGGGCATGTTTGTTAACAGCAGATATTTCCACCTGCATGCCTAACAGTTGAAAAATAAAAAAGTCTGTCCACATCACTTCCTGCCCACTTCTCTGAAACACCTCTGTCTCATCCACATACTGGTTTTCAGTAATGCACTGGCTGACTTTTTTGATGTGATAGCAGTTAAGTTTACCTGCTCATCCATATAGAGGCTAAAGCTTCTTCCTGCAGTCACATTGAGTTTCCTTTGTAGTCAGCAGACCGGCAGGTTTCTTATCCTTCAAAATCTCATTCGGACCGCCACCGTTTATCACTTTGATTCACATATTTTCACTTACCAATATAATATAACCCAATGAAAATAGCTCAAACCTGTTAATATTCTTTCTTCTGAATTTTAACTCTTGCTTTATATAGGAGTCTTTCGCAGTTGCACAGATATGTGTTGATAGAACTGTAAAGCTTGTAACAGCAGCACCTCCCCCCTCCTCTGGTGTCTTTTTAACAGGCTACTAAGTTACAGTTTAACCACCTTTTAATCACATAACTTTATTTGATATGTAACAAACTGAGTCTAAGGTCCAGGTTTTATTTCATTTTTGTTCCTAACAAGCTGGCATGTGTGACCCGGTACAAGAAACAGACTGACCGGCTGTACTGCAGATTCAGAACACCCAGACAGAAATTACAGCAGGCTGTAAACTTAAGGTGTTTTCTTCCTGAATGCAAATCTCACAAAGCTGCAGGTGATCATTCGGGCCGTGGAACCATGGAAACATCTACAAGCGAGACTTTTTCTCTGTTAATGAAGTCGGCTTTTTACAACCTTAAAATGTAGAAAAAATTAAGGATTTCTGTCAGAAGAAGTTCTAACATGCACGTCTAGAGGTTAGACAGTTATAACAATGTCTTTACAGGTCTGAGTAAAAAATCAGAAAACTACAACTCATCCAGAGTGAAGTGGATAACTCCCTTTGTTAAACCACTGCATTGGCTTGGGTCTGGCTGGTGTGCCAGATCATAGTTTTTAAAATGCTTCTATTGGTCTATAAAAGCAGTAAATAGGCTTCCCAGATTTTAATTTGATCTTGATTATCATGTTTTTCATAAAAATTTGAAGCACTCTGGATTTTCACATCCTGAAAAGTCTCAAAACTTCATCTGTCGCAGATTTCAAACGGGTTTTAAACATGCACGCGTGTGTTTTCTGTGTGTTTGCGTGTTGGCCAGATGGGTGGAGGAGGACCCGCGGGAGATCATGCAGTCTGTTCACGAGTGCATTGAGAGGACCTGTGAGAAGCTCTGCAAGCTCAACATCGACGTCTCCAACATCAAAGGTAGGACGCTGACGGTGGAAGACGGGGTAGAAAATGAGGGCATCGGGGCAAATTCATTGAAATTTATCCTTTTTTTTGTTTTCAGCGGTGGGAGTGACCAATCAGAGAGAGACGACCCTGGTTTGGGACAAAGACACCGGCGAGCCGCTCTACAACGCCATCGGTGAGAGCGTCAGCATCAGTATTTTTGGATTTCTACATCGGTGTCAGACTCACCGAGCTGTAAAAAAGTGGATTGTGTAATGTGGGAAACGACTCGGGGCATGACTTGATTACATCAGGTTGAAGCATCCTGTGTCGTGTCTGTTCCTGCCCCGCCAAAAACCATCAGAGCTGTGATCCAGCAGCAGCCACTCCCACTCACACAGGCTTTCAGTTTAAAAAGCCAGTTTATCAGCGAGCTCTTCAGTCCCCTGATTCGACTGGGGGGTGTTGTGTCAGCTGTTCACTGATCAGAGCACTGCTTGAGCTATGAACAGCCAACAAAAGCTAGCAAAGTTTTTTTTTTTTTAACAAAATGTTAGTGCTTAACTTCTCACAGCAGGAGAAAAGGCACCGCAAAGCAATTTTCTTCAAAAGGTGTGTCACCTTCATATTATTTAATCAGGTTTTGGGCCAAAAAGTGAACGCAGATGTTTTTATGTGGCTTTTTTATGTCTAATATCCCCATTCATGCTGGAAAATAACCTGCAGTTAACAGGATTTACAATGGAGTCATATATAAAATAAATTCAGTTCACTTTTCTTCATATAACACCAAATCACCACAGCAGTTGCCTCAATCTCTCTATATTGTGAGGTAAAGACCTCACAGAGAAACCCCCTACAATCATACCACCCGCTGTGAGCACGCACATGGTAACAGTGGGGAGGGAAAACTCCCTTTTAACAGGAACAAATCTCTTCAATCTAAATACCAGCAATCACTTTTTGCCATGACAACAATGACAATGTGTAGAATGGTAGTAAAAATAAGTCCAAATTCATTGTGTCAGTTTGTCGTTGTGACCAGAAGCTGACAGACAGATGTTGTTAAATCCAGTTTTCCTGGTTTTTGGTGTTATTAGTGGGTCTGATGATATAACCTGATTTCAAACTGTTTTTAGCAGCTATCTTATTGATATGCTCTGTTTGGGATAATTTACTATCTATTTGCAGTTTGCAATAATTTGAAGTTTAAGTCGGGCTCTCAGATTAATGTTAGCCATTTTCAAAAAATGCACCACAGCATCATCAGACAGAGGTGCAGAACTCCCATATCCAAGTTAGGTTGAAAATTAAACAGAAGTTAACGTGCTGGTTTGCTCATACAAAGTCCACACGGTCTCCTGTTTTGCCTCCTGCGGGATTCACTCTAGCAAAAGTTGTATTTTCAAAGCGGCATTTTACTTTCCTGCTGTGCTTTGTGTGATGAAGCTCAACTGGGGAAAATCCCGACCTGGTTCCACAGCGTGCTCCAGAGTTCATGTGTGAAAACGACCACACAGCTGCACCAGCAGCCTGGCTAGTAGAAGTATATATAATAAAATATCACACATTGAAACCTTAGACAGGAAGGACTCAAGTTTAGCTGGTTAATAGTGACCAATCTTTCAAAATAAAAGCAAGGACATTGTTCACTAATACATTGTGGATGGCCTTGTTCTTCCAGAAAGATGAAAAATAAAGAAGGTAAAATTAGAGTTGGGATTATGCCCATGCCCATTCAAACAAACCCTGGGAACGCTGAGCTGTGAGTCTCATTTCTCATCCATCCTGAAAAAGACCTGGAGCTCTGTTGCCTTGGATCCTCTTTGAGGTTTAACCACAGAATTTAAATGAAGATCAGGTCAGAGGGCTGTAAGGAGCGTGATTAGTTAAACAAAGTTCTTGTGTTGTCTCAAACTTCAGCTGGTCCTCGTCATTCCTGCCATTTCTTTAGAAACTGAGGAAAATGTTTCCTGATTACTCAGTTTTTATTCATTACGCTGAGACCGCCTGGCCTCTGATTAAAGAGTTAGTCTTTATGAAGCTTAGATCTACAACTACATATTGAGGTTGCTGTTTTCTCACAAAACTAATGCCAATGTTTTGGGTTCCCATGTTTGAATCTTTCTCCTCTCCTGCTTTGTGTTTAGTTTGGCTGGACCTTCGTACTCAGTCGACGGTAGAGAGGCTCATTAACAAAGCTCCGGGAAGAAACAAGAACCACCTCAGGGTGAGAGATGATTGATAAGAAATTGGTAACAACTTAATCAGGGCAAGTTGTGTGGGTCAGAGGAACACTTGGGGGTGTAGTAGTGACTTTGTTATCTACTTTGAATCAGAAATCTGAAAGAAGGCAGGACTCTTGCTTTCTTTGTTGAAATATCTTTCTGATCTCTGTTTCTATTGTCTTAATCTCCACAGCATAAAACAGGCCTTCCCATCAGCACTTACTTCAGTGCAGTGAAGCTGCGATGGCTGCTGGACAACGTGGACGAGGTGCATGAGGCTTTCCTGAGCCAGCGTGCCATGTTTGGCACGGTGGACTCCTGGATCATCTGGGTAAGACCTGAACCTGTACCTCTACTTCTGTCATGAGTGTGTGATTTGTTCTTTTAACACCCCCACCCCTCCACCCCCCAGTGTCTAACAGGGGGAAAGAACGGCGGGGTCCACTGTACAGACGTTTCAAACGCCAGTCGCACCATGCTCTTCAACATTCACACCATGGACTGGGATCCTGAACTCTGCAGGTGATTCACACTATACCCTGTACACTATAGACTGTATATAAAGGATGGGTGCCACAGCCTATCCAAATGTTTTGGCCACTGCCATGTTGGATTGTGGAGCCAGAGTGACCATATTTGCACGAAGGGCCTGAAAAGCTGTGTTATTGGCTAATGCTAGCTAGCTAGGTTAGCAAACAAACTATATAAGAGCATCAGAGAGCCAACCAATTAGTGTTAATAACATTAAATAACAACTGAATTCATCTGAATTAAATATTAGGTAATAAAAGGCTCCAACAGCACAAACACAGAACAGAGGTCTAGTTCAGGCCGGGTGAAGCCTAGCAAAGAGCTAGCAGCTACAGCTACCTGTGTCGCCATAAATCTGTCAGTCAGAGACGCCACACCCCTAATAATGCAAACTTTATTGCAACTTAAACAGATGAGTGATGCATATGTTATGTCTTTATTTCTGCTGTAAAATTGGATGTTTTGGGGATGGACTAAGTTTTTAATGCAGTCTCAAGTGGCGGCTAAAGGAACTGCAGTTTTTGGTTTCATGTTTTAGCCATGGAGGTTGCTGCTTAATTGTCACACACAGAATAAAGCATTTAAGGTTATCGTCTGCGTATCTGTTTGCACACTCCAGTAAAAGCTCATTCACTTCCCATTCAGGGAGTTAATGAGCCATCTTTTGTTTTATGCAGTTGGCTGAGCTTTGAAGCAGTGGAAAAAATGCTGCACCAATACATTTTATTTCTTTTGAGTCATAAAAGCACAGAAAGAATGGACTGGTCTTCACCTGATTATTCAGAGTCAGCTCCCCAGCTTTAGTGAGAGAGAAACAAACACTCTGTTTTAGCTCCGTTTTGTCGAACTCCTCCAGATTTAATTTCAGTCATGATTCTTCTTCTTCTTCATCTTGCTGCTCTGCTTAGAGGTTGCTAAAGTGGCTCACGTGCCTTCATGCAGACTTAACCATCCCAGTATCGAAATAATCGGAGTCATATATTCGATTGTAAAAGATTTTACACCGGACATCCTTCCTGTACTGGTGAGGAGCTCTCATGTAGTTTGCTTTTGATTGCTTGTGGTTTGCCCAGGCCAATCCTCGTTGCCCCCTACATTGAGGCTGCAGGTTGCCCTTGGAGACGGGCTGGACGGGCTTAACTTGGCATCCGATCAATGTCTGCCTTGTTTTTAATTGATTTGATTTATATTTAAAGTTTAAAGAAACCTCGTGTGAAAAGCTACATTTTTAAAGTCACATTGTTGCCACTTTCTCCTTTGTTGTCTGTTCTTCCTCATCTGCAGCAATCTGGGGATTAAAACACAGAACAACAGGACAGAAAATAGAACAAAGACCTCATCAAAAAAAAAGAAAAACTATAAGTGCCTTTGTGTTTGTTTTTATTATGAACCTACAACCTCATGACAGACTCCTGCTATGCTCCTTTCAGGTACTTTGACATCCCGATGGAAATCCTGCCCAGCGTCAGAAGCTCGTCTGAGATATACGGCTGGATGGTGAGCTCAGATACACCTCACAGCACGCTGTGTGTTTGTTTCTGTGACACCATTTGTGTTTTGAGGTCACAAACCTGAAACAACCTTTTTTTTCCCTCTACAACTCAAAGAAGAGATATGTGAAATCTGTGCAACCTGATACCGACACGAACCATAAATATTTCTGGTGAATGGTCTCGTTAAATGTTGTTATTACTGTAATGGCTATAAAACTTGATAAGAAGCATCAGGAGAGGTGATAATGTACAGACAGTGTAGATAGTGAAGGTCTGCTGAAGATTTCCAGCTGAACGTTTATTATTCTGATGGATTTATGCTGCACAGTTTTTTCCATACATCCAGATGCATGCATGACTTCATCCAATCCTACATTTTTTAAATTAATTACATTTAAATTAATTCAGTAGATATTTTTCCTACATAAATCATATTAATTAGTGTTTTTAACCTCTTTCCATATAAAGGATAAATGTCACCATGCTGGACTTCTGAAGGTGCATTCCTACATTTCCAACTAAACCTATATGGCTTGGTTAGCAACCTACAGCCACAAACTGTGTGGGTACAGTGTATGCCTAGAATTTCACCAAAACTGGAGCTTAACCTCCTTGGACAGTCTGGAAGTACAAATCAATGCACAGCAGTCGTATTATTGTTGTTCAGATAATTGTATTTAAAATACTCCAAAAAAGAGGGAATTAATGAAGTATTTGTAAGTTTCTATTCCAATCTGTACACTTCAAGCTCTCCCCCTCTATCAGAAGAACTCTCCAAAATATACATTTTCCAAGAATAGATAGTGATCTGACGAAGGATAGGACCTATTACTGTAGTAGAGGTACAAAAACCATTAAATCCTTAAACACAGGTAAATCCCGGCCCTGACGGTTACTCTGCAGAATACTATAAACCAATTTGATCTTATGCACCGTGTTGAAAGATATGTATAATGAAGCCTTTTCAAAATGTCATTACCCAAGACTTTTCCGAACTACTATTTGTTTAATCTTGAAAAAGGACAAGGATCCTCTGTTGTGCAGCAGTTACAGACCAATTTCTCTTTTAAATATTGATTTAAAATACTATCTAAAATCCTCGCACTTAGGCTACAACGTGTTCTGCCACAAATTATCGCCTCTGACCAGACGGGATTTATGGCCGGCAGGCACTCATATGACAATTCAAGACGCCTCTTGAATATTATCCATACATCGTGCAACTCAATTCCAGAGGTTGGGTATTCTTGACGCGGAGAAAGCTTTCGACCGCGTTGAGTGGAGCTTCCTCTATGAGTGATGGATAGGTTTGGCTTAGGCTGACTTATTCTCTGGTTAAGCTACTATATCCTCGCCATCCACCTGTATTCGTACTAACAACAACTTGTCTTTGCCTTTTCCACTTGAGAGGGGCACTAGGCAAGGGTGCCCTCTCTCACCCCTCCTATTCGCCATTGCTATCGAGCCTCTTGCAATATGGCTGCGTTCAGAGGATAGATTTAAAGGCATTACAAGGTTCGGTGTGACCCACAATCTCTCCCTTTATGCAGATGATTTGCTCCTGTACATTTCTGACCCTCTAAACTCATTCCCGGTACTTTTTGACATACTGGACCAATATGGTACACTGTCAGGATATAAGCTCAATTATCAAAAAAGCGAGTTGCAACCCCTCAATTCCCTGGCCAGAGCTCTTCCCCACTCAATAGTGCCTTTTAAGTGGACAGAAACCGGATTTAGATATTTGGTTTTTTATTCCTCTTCTATGTAAAATGATGAGGGAGAATTTCTATCCCTACTAGAAAATGTTGGGAAGATGTGGACTGTTGGACTTCTCTACCATGTCAGTGGCAGGGAAGTTAACCTGATAAAGATGAGTGTCCTCCCAAAATTCTTGTATCTTTTTCAACATGTCCCGATTCTTCTTACCAAGGCATTTTTTGACAAGTAGAAAAGATTCTGTCACATTTCATATGGGAGGGAAACAGCTAGAATTCGCAAGTCTATTCTTCAGTCCTCTAAAACTGACGGCGGTCTTGGTCTGCCCAATTTTAGACACTACTATTGGGCAGCTACATACAAAAACTTTTACATTGGGTTCATAACGACCCCCCTGCACCAGCCTGGGTACAAATGGAAACTGCATCTAGCTGTTACTCATTATCATCAATACTCAGCTCACCACTCCCTTTTTCTCCAACCTTGTTGGGGATAATCCAATAGCTAAGGAACGGTAACTATTTGGCGACAGTTCAGAAATACTTCGGCTACTTGGACCGTCTTTGCTAACGCCTTTATCAAAAAATTGTAATTTTGCACCTTCAAACACTGATGCGGCCTTTAGGAGTTGGAAAGATAACGGACTTAGGACTGTTAAGGACTTGTACAGTCAGGACTAAATACAACCTGCCTAATTCCAACTTTTTTCGTTATCTTCAGGCTAGAAATTTTGTAAAAACGCAGTTCCCTCACTTTCCCAATCGGCCTCCAGAAACAAATCTGGATATCATCCTGCAGACGAACCCTCATCAAAACAGACTGATATCAGCCTTGTATAAAATACTAGATGCTTTGGTCCCCAAATCCATTTCTCATATTAAGCTGAGATAGGAGGAAAAGCTACAGACAACCCTGCCAGAACAGCAGTGGGATTCTGCTTTGAAATTGATTCACTCGTCCTCAATTTGTGCTTGTCATGCTCTGATTCAGTGCAAGTGTTATAATACACTATACAAACGCAGAATTATCTAAAATCTATCCAACCATTAGTGATGCCTGTAGCAGATGCACTACGCTGCAACCATCCACAGTTTTGTCTTGTTCGAACTGAGTGCATTTTGAGGAATATATTCGACACACACTTACAAGCATTGCCAGACTGTCCCTCCTAACCCACTCTCGCATTTTTGGCATTCCTCCCGACTTGAACTTATCTGGTCCCCTCAACAGCCTACCTTTACCCTTACTGGCTCGAGGCTTATTCTGTTGAAGTGAAGCTTCCCACCCCAACTCATATCATTGGTGAGAATGTACTCTTTAATTAAGCTGGAAAACTTAATTCTCTAAAAGTTCTATTAGGAATTTACAAATCTGGAAATCATTTCTCTTTGGACACTATTACTTTACTCCTGAGTCTGAATGAACTGAGCGAACTACATATAATGTTTTTTTTTTTTTTTTTTTATCTATTATACCTATCTATTTGTTTTCCTTTTGTTTGTCCTTTCTCTTTTTGTTTTCTGTTTGTTTCTTGTTTGTTTTTGTTTGTTGTTTGTTGCGGCGGGGGTTGTGTGTTTTTTTGGGTATGCTGTTATGTATTGGTCTGAGATTTTGTTTTGGTTTTTTGTTGTTTTTTGTTGTGGCAGAGACTGTTCTCTGCGGTGTCTGTCTAGTGTGACTGGTAGGGGAATCGGGTGGGGGTTGAGGGTATAATGGACTACCACTGTTCTGAAATCAGATGCTTTGTGTTGCAACTTTGTAGTCATTGTGAATCAATAACAAAGTTGGAATAAAATACTCCAAAAAGCTCCCAGAGCACAAACTGTTTAGATAAGGTAACGCAGTATTTCTTCTATATATTTGGACCGCTTGTGTAATTACACACTTGCAGAGGTCCATTTTAAACCCTGTCCATGGCCCTTCAGGGGTGCAGGCACCTCGTCCATGGCCCATGGACTCCTCATCAGTAATAGTTTTTTTTTCTGTGCAAATGCACTGTACATGTTTTGATCACACACAGAATATTTCTGCATGTGTTGTTATATTATATTGTGGATGTAGGAGTTCATTGAGTTGTTTAAAATCCCATTCTGTGGCCTCTCCCTGATAACATCCTGATAAGAAGCCGTGCGGCTCTTATCTCATCTCCCGACAACATCATTGACTTTAATGTCGAAGCTTTTTTATGCAACGTGCTCTATGGACTGAGGTCCAGAGATCAGCTGAAGCAGCTGTTTGTTTCTCTCTCTCTGCCTCATTGATCGGATCATTTTTCTTTTTCTTTTTTTGCCTCTACATGTATCTTTCCATGCAGGACCGACCTCTTTAATGACTGGAATTAATGAATAAATAATCAGTTCTGATAAAACTAGAAAGGGTTCAGTTAGGTTAAAATAATAAAAGTATCCTATGCTCACTTTGACGCTTGTGGAGCTTTTATTAAACTGTAATTACCACTGATAACTCAGTGTGATGCATACTTGGCTACAGGGCCACGAGTCTGATTCCCTGCACAGCAAACGGCCTCCTGCTTCATCCTAAAGGTTTTCATATCATTCTTTGTGTTGCACTGAGCTCAGCGGTCATTTATCCAGAATCTAAACATGTCCACATTTCTGTCTCCTAACCAGAAATCCGGCTCACTTGCAGGAGTTCCAATTTCAGGGGTAAGAGCTTTTCCCTCTTATGCAACTTTGTTTAATGAGTCACATCTGTCTGTGTTCCGCTGCGAGGCTGTCGCTGTGCTGGAGCAACGCATGGCTCCCTCCCACTTTTTTTTTTCTGAGTAGAGACCATTTCGCTCGACCAATGAAAAATCTGCCCTGTGACACCTCAGAATCAGCTGATTTGTTTTGTATGTAATGAAGCCAAGCAAAAGCGGTATCTTCACACTCTCTTTCACAGTTCAGGCCCGCCAAGTACACGTGGGCGGGTCTGAACTAGCTGCATAAGTACAGGAGACGTCAGCAAGACCAGTTCAGGGCTGCAAAACACATTTAAGCTGCAACCAAATCAATTTAAAAGGAAAATAACCGTCTCTGAGCATCAGCATCATCTGAGGTCTGTCGTAGTTTGAATGAGCTGCAGCAGTTTCATCTCTGTAGAGTAGAGGAACAGAAACAAGCATTGGTATCCTGGTTGTTTGATCTGTTTTCTCATAATTCCCTTGAAACTTAAAAAGTGCATCCTGGGTACATTTTAATGGTCATATCACTATGTAGTTTAGTGGGGTAGATCAGAAACACACTGTAGCATATGGAAGGTCCCCTTTTCAAAAGGTCATTTTCTGGCTGTGGGTTTAAAATTATGTTAACTGCTGGGTTGGAGCTTCCAGGGTGAAGCAGATATGTTTGCGGTTGTATCCACTCATCTATGACTGTTTACACGTCCTACTTGATCTGTCAGTGTCTCGGTGACCAGTCGGCTGCTCTGGTTGGTCAGATGTGCTTCAACGAAGGCCAGGCCAAAAACACGTAAGCACTCTGCTCCCTTCTTTATCACGGTGACGTCAATTCATTGTTTTTCTATGTTCAATACAGAGATTGTGTTTTTTCAACTTGACAAAATACATTACATGACATTTGAGGCTGTTAATAAATATCATCATAGGGATATGTGGACTGGGTTAAATTGCACTACACTGATACGATTGAGTTCTCTTCAAATGTGTCTCTACTGTGTTTCAGTAAATTGTAAAGTTGCTATTTTCACTCTAAAGAAGGTAGTACTTAGTAAACTGTAGCAGTTAACATACAAATCTATCAGTTTATAACAAAATGCTAAGTCAGTGGATTTAATCATCGCTCAGTGCCTGCTCAATCAACTGAGTAATCTCCCCACCTCCTGATTCACCAACTCTGTGAGATAGAAGTCACAGTAACTAACCCAAGAAAGGTGCTTGATTGGAGTCAGAAAGAGTACTCATGTCTTTATTTTTGTCCCCCGATTTCTGTTCCTGTTGCTAAGGTGTGTTTTAACCCAAACCACCTGCTTTCTCTAAATCTAACCAGCGAGTGGAAGTGGACATGAAACGTAAAACAAATATACCCAGGTTGGCTGTAAACCTGCTAAAATGTGACACTACAGGCTCTCTGTCCTCCTCATGAGGACTATGCAAATCTGTTAAGTGTGGCGAATATCAAAAATCAAAACACCAGCGCACCCACACTGTAGATGAGTTAACGTCACCAATAAACCAATCGCGTGTCTAACGCTTCTGTTTTATTCTCATGTAAAGGTATGGGACTGGCTGCTTCCTGCTCAGAAACACAGGCACCAAGGTAAGATGTTGTTTTTAAAATATATACAGTAGTTATTGCTATAACAATTTTAGTGAGAAATATTTCACCCTCTCAGTAATAATTTTCATGTGATCTGTCAGCCTGTGATCTCAGACCACGGCCTGCTCACCACAGTTGCCTACAAACTGGGAAAAGACGAGCCGGCCTGCTATGCCCTCGAGGTGTGTGGTGGCCTCTATTAAATAACTATGATCGGTGACGGCTGTCTGTGCTCTGGTCTGATTTTTGGGATCTGCTTATTTTTTTCTTGTTTCCTGCAGGGGTCGGTGGCCATAGCAGGAGCAGTGGTACGGTGGTTGAAGGACAACATGGGGATGGTGCAGTCGTCCTCAGAGATCGGTACGTGCACTTCACCATTGATTACCTTCAGGACTCGGCGCTGGGGTTTGTGCTTGAATATCACGTCTGCTTCCGTCTCCTGTTGTCCTCTCTTTCAGAGAAACTGGCAGCGGCAGTAGGAACGTCGTACGGCTGTTACTTCGTGCCAGCTTTTTCGGGGCTCTACGCCCCCTACTGGGAGCCCAGCGCAAGAGGGTGAGCGAGTCGGCCCAGGCTCATTCTAAACTGAGGAAATCCTTTATGCTTGAACGCTTGTTGAAATGGCTATATTTCTATGTATAACAGTGCATGTGTTAAAAGATCAGCTATGAGCCTGGTGCTGAGCCCTGAGGAACCCCAAAGCTAATGTAGGAAAATCCAAACCCACATTTTGTGCACTCAGCATTAATAATAAACAGGATGGAAGCTGATTATAAACTCTGAGATGACACCCTCACTGGTAATCGAACAGGTGGGCTTTTTTGTCAGGATCTGTTAAGTGACTTATGGAGATGAGCTTCTACAAAACATCTCAGCTGCTCGATATTTAAAGACATTTAGTATATTCACATTCAATTTCAGTTCCTCAAAAGACACATTAACAGAGTTTAGAGGATGCACATTTGGACTCTTTTTAAAACCTTAAATGAAGCTTTTGCTCCTTCTGATGTAAATCCGGTGTTTAGCAATCAGATTAGCAGTCTGCTTCTTACTTTTTTAAAATCTGTGTCAAAGTATGAACATGTGGGGAGAGGTTGTTTTAAGATCATGTGATTCTATATTTATTCAATGACAAAAAAACACAAAACACAAGGCCACAAAAACATGACAGAGCTCTGCTGTGCTGCCCAATAACACAGTAGTAAATGTGGAACAGTTTAATGTTTGGTCTCTGTATTAAAGTATTAAAGTTTTGCTTTCTCTGTTTTGCAGCATCATCTGTGGGCTCACACAGTTCACCAACAGGAACCACTTGGCATTCGCTGCTCTGGAGGCCGTCTGCTTCCAGACCAGAGAGGTGAGCCTCCTCTTCTCATCTCTAGAACGAGAAGATACACAAGAGTGTAACCGGGCTATCACTAAGCATTGATCACATAGGTGTAACGTGAGTTTATGATACATACAGGTTTGCTTACTGAACACTATATCAGAGCATGGTAGTATTTCAGCTAGGCTGAATTTCAGATGCAACAAGAGTTAATAAAGAGGGGTTAGAGACGGGTTTCATCGTAGTTGAATTGAAGTGTGTGTGCGTGTGTGTGTGTTAGATTCTTGATGCAATGAATCAGGACAGCGGGGTCCCTCTGACGCAGCTTAAGGTGGACGGAGGGATGACGTCAAACAGATTACTGATGCAGCTGCAGGCCGACATCCTCTGCATCCCTGTAGGTACGACTACTAAACGCACACACACTCAGAGTAACTCTGTGTTTTAAAATCGAGGAACTGGTGACACGAGGCTGAACCTTAACCTTAAACTGTCCATTCTGATATTTGACCCATTTAAAACAAACACTTTGATATACAGGTCGAAGGTAAAGGCAGAAATGTACCTGTGCTAACCAGTTAAACATGAATTGACTTTACACGCACATATCTTCCTGTTCATTAGAATACTTTGCCAGCATTGTGTAAGTGGATGATTTTATCACCTGTAAGATGTTTCCCATCAAAGCTGAACAGCTGCTCCTTTTGATTGTTAGAGACTTTACTAGAGACTCTAATGACCGTTTGGTTCACTGTGACAAGTTTAGTCACATGTAGAAATGACAAAATGTCCTCACTGTCTGATGGTAAAGATTATTCTTTACTCACAGTCTGCACTTTTGAAAAAACAATCAGGCACTATCTGGATGATAGATCTGACTAGTAACACACAAAAAAACAAAAACAGCAGCACTACTCCCCTGAGTAGTTTGGACATTTTACAAAACCACAACATGACCTCATGAACTGAAGATATATTAAAAACCAGTGTAGCACTAAAGGTTTTTTGGTTTTGTTTGAACATTTGCCTATGTTCTGCTTTAATTTCTGTAACTTAGGTGTCAAAGTACCTAGTTAATTTCCAATAGCTGACTAGAAGATTTTATTTTAAAGAAAATGACTCTTTAAAAAGTCTGGCTGAAGTCCTCAAACTACATGGAAGCTTTTATTTTGAAAATACAACATGGCTGATGTCAACCTGATGACTTCCTGCAACTAACTTTTAAAGAAATTTAAAAAACAAATCACTGACTTGAAGATTTCACCAAAAATATTATGAAAATGAAGAATTTTTGCATTTAAATAGCAACCAGAATACAGGAAGTGATGAGCCTGATCGCTCTCAGGGGGAACATGTCTCTCTGTCACTCTCTAACCGTCCGTCTTACGTTGCTCCAGTTCGACCCACCATGTCCGAGACCACAGCTCTGGGTGTAGCCATGGCGGCGGGGGCAGCAGAGGGCGTAGGCGTATGGAGCCTGAGTCCCGGTCAGCTCCCACATGTCACATCTGAGAGATACGAGCCTCAGATAAACCCTGAGGGTAAGACTGTGAGAGTGAAAAGCTTGCAATGGGATCATATGACATACATGACACAGGACATACAGCAGATAATAGAACACAGAGCAGGATGGCCTCGAGTTTTGGTTAATGTTATGCAGCACTATGTAATTTAGAATTTACAGTGTCAGCCGTTGTTTCTGTTTGTCCAGATGCTGTTAAACATTTACAGTGAAATAAAACACTGTGTAAAACATTAATTTCCCATTTAATAGATTAAAGTGAACTTAAAGTTGTTTTTTATCCTGTGACAGCAACATGCTGCAAGAGTCAACATAACTGATGGTTGATTGGCTGGCTCCTCCCCCCTTCAGGCGCATGATGGTGTTTTTCTTTGTGCAGAGAAAATGTTCCTTATTTTACCATCAGCTTTAAAATTAGCAGATATATTCAGATGTGTTTATTTTTCAAGTAATGTAAATGTTCTTTTGTTATTTGCTGGGCAGTAAAATTCAAAACAGTGTCACTCTGTGCTGTTTTGTGGTCTTTGCTTTGCAATGGCATCAAATGTGAATATCTTAGAAATATTTGTGTAGCTTATTATTTTTACACAGCTTCAGCTTTAAATCAGTTTTGACTGAATCTGTAATCTCAGTGTTTTCCACTCAGTGACTTTTAGGTGTAATTTGCTGCATTTGGTGGATGTTACTATGACGACATGACTTACACTTGTTTCCTCGTCACAAACAGAGAGCGAGTACCGCTTCGCTCGCTGGAAGAAGGCCGTCCAGAAAGCCATGAACTGGGAGACCACAGAGCCCTGCTACAACGGCAGCGGTAAGCCACTGCATGCAGGAAGTGACTTCAGCTGTTAACTGTTTCATTGTTGGAGAATTTCCCCCTCACTCACTCACAATCTCCTCACTTACTGACAACAGGTTTAGGAAAGAATATGAACGGCGCACCCTGGGGGGTCCATCCCAGCCCTCCCCCCAGCAGAGTGGACCACTAAGGTCCGACATTTGCCGCTGCATGCCGTGTGTGACACTTGAGTTTCGACTTGGGGCATGTTTACATATTAAAGGCTTTACTAACACGGTGTGTTCACGGCTTTAACCGACGCAGATGTCCTCACTCGTTAGAAACTAATTTAAGGCGGAACTGTTCTGTTCATATTTATTCTGCTAGAGCAGCTTTGCATGATTCTTGGTTCAAAGTAATCCTTCTCTAGCTCATGCTTGGACAACAAGCTGTTTTAGCCCCTCCCCCTTTAAGCCAACTGCCTTCCTACTGGCTGTCCTTATAAGCAGAATGGTTGAACAACAAGTGAGCAGAGCTTCTGATTTTCCATCTCTCTGACATCATAGAGATCAAAGAATAGAAAAAACTGTGTGACACTGACTGTTTAAAACAGCCTGCATAACATGAAATAAGTTGAAGCAAAATAGGTCAAATTAATGATACTTTTAATCCTTCCTAAAGTTGTAAACAGAATGTGAGGAAACAACGCTACAACTGAATTTCCATAAATCTTTTTCTGTCATGTTAACAGGAATTACGTGCTACACTGGCTCACTGCACCACCCTGTGGTTCTTAGTGGTATTACATGACAGTACATTTCAATTTCACCTGATATTCTTGCAATACAACACCACAGTCGTCTCGTACGTAATGTCTTAGCGGTTAATTCTTCACATTCTGTTGTTTTTTTTTTATTTGTGTTAGGTTTTAGAGTCTTTGACAAAGTTGGGGTTTTTTTTTGCAAAACCTACATTTCAGATAAATTAAATCTGAGTCAGACCAGCCTGGTTTTTGTGTGGGCATGCGACTGCAGTTATTCTTGTATGCCTCTACCAAGGAAGTCTTTTAGGATTCTTTTCTAAAACAAGATAGGTCAAAGTTAAAACGCTGGCTTCATTTGTTTACAGATAGATCTACATATACTTTCAGGTGGTATTCAGGAACTCACTTCCTGTCCCAGCTTTAGCCTTGATGGAGGTATACATTCTCACAATGCTCTGTTTTTCCTGCTGGTAAACCGCAATTGTTTCTATGACTTTTTAAAACGTGTGGAAATCAGGAGATTGCAGATCGCCAAGAGGTTTGTGCTTTAACTTCTAAATCTGCAGCTAAGATGCTAAGTGTCCCACAGAGCTCCTTTGAGTCCACGTTTAGTTTTAATCCTTTTCTTTAAACTAACTGCTTTGCTTCCAGAAAACAAAAGTCTGTCAGTGTTTGTTTGCTCTCTTAGACTCGTTTCTGTTCGCCTCACAGGTCACTCGCAGTAACTTTAAACTGTGTGGAGCCACATTTTGGGGGGAACATGATTGTGGAGTACGGTGAAGACGGGACTGGCGACTGCTCGATCCAGCCTGCGGTCATCTTCAGTGACGTGCAGCCTCTCAAATGCTCTGAACATCCAGCGAGCTTTTCACGAAGAACGACACCACATGCAGCCAGGAACAGTTTCTACACCGTCCAGTTAAAACAAACATGCCTTCAACACAGAGACTGCTGTAACTCCTCACTGCACCCAAAGGGAACACTGGACTTTATTTTGAATGTGTTCTGTACATGATGTTGATGTTTAACCCCCAAACACGGAACAGAAGTCACTCATGGAGGGGACGAGTACTTTTAAGTCAGAAAACCGTCCTTTTAAAAAAGAAAATTCATTGTAATTTACTGCACTTCATTAACTACAATCTGAAAGCCAGCCAATTCTTAACAGCACTTTATAATTTATCCTGTTTGTGGAAAACATTTTTTTTTAATCATTTGATGTTTTGAAGAAACAGGACTTTGACTCCTTTATAATTAATTATAACACTTGATGACCTTTGAAGATCTGAGCTGTGGCACGAGCCATAAATACCTGGAGGATCATTTTCCATGAGACTTAAGCTTGTCTGTGAAAGGGGGAAAACGTGGCGACTGTTAAATCCTGCTGATTTATTACTGCTGTTTGAACCCTTCATATTACCAGGATGCCTCAAAAAGTTGTCCAAGTCAGAATAAACACAAAATGTACTTTTCATGTCTTTTCTGAACACACAGCAGGAAGAACTCTTAAAGACTAAACTCTTGTAGATCTTTAGGAACAGCAGGAGTGACAGGTTTTTATCCTGCAGAAATTTCAGTTCATCTGTCTTTCTGGGACGTTTGGGTTGATCAACCTGCAGCCGGGTGCTTTTTTGCACTAACAAAAAGAATGATATGAGCAAAACACACTAATCTGTTAGAGGTTTAATTTGCTGCAAATACAAGAAAGAAAGGACAATTGATAGCCGATACAGGGATTAAATGTGAACATTTACAAAAATATCTTTAAACAATGTTTCAGCATGAAAACTGATAAAAGACGTCTGAGGGAGAAGGGTTAGTCCGACTGCTCTGAAGCAGGAAGTTCATGGGATTAAAGTAGGAGGGGGAGGATCCAAGGCTCAGCGGGAGAACTGCCTTCGGTCGCTCTTTCCTTTGTTCACGTGTTTGAAAATTTTCGATTTCTGCACGTTTTTGGACTTCTGGTATCCAAAACCACCGCCGCCACCTCGCTTCTGCAGCTTGGCTCCTTTACTGCTGTGCACGTCTGAAGAGAAACATTTAATTAAGGAGAACATCTTTCTTTTTAAAAATGATCCTCTCTATTGGAGAGCTACAACCTTTTACATGAACGTGCAATTCTGTAACATTCAGATGTTTTCAAGCATAATGAATAAAAACAAGCAGCAAAGGATACTGAGATCAACATATGGAGGAACTTTGAATCCAAATGAGAGCGCCACCATGGGGAGGTTCAGGGTGTTGATGTTGTAGATCTGTTTGAGCGAGTGGGAATCGTAAGCCCTCACGTAGGACTTGTAGGCCTCCTGGGCAGACTTGTGGAGGTAGTAGTTCTTTTCGATAAGTTTCTCCAGCTGAGGGAGGACAGAGTTCAAGTCACAAAACTGCCTTTGCTATCTGAGGCATTGCTGAGTGTAAACCGCACGTTAATTCTCACCTGAGACTGGATGTCGGAGATTTTACTCCAGGAAAATTCAAACTCACTCAGTGGGACCTAGATGAGATAAAGCAGATAATGCAGACTTTAAAGAAAACTAATCAACACAAAAAAGGGACAATCAGTGTCTATGAATATCTTTTCATTGGCATGTCCTATTTTTTCCATTAAAACAGGAGGTCCCCAAATCAGAGCCCTGTGGGACACCACAGCACAGTGGGAGGACTTAGATACAAAACCTTCAACAGTGACTATAAAACTATATGTGATGTAAAATTTAAAGGCAAATCCTGCTTAAAAGTCTGTATGTGTTCGTACAACTGAAATGACCAGGCAGGTGGTCAGCTCACCTTGGCCTGTTTGAGGAACCGCAGGAAGCCGAGTTCTTCTGGCCGCAGGATGAGGAGGGCGTGGCCTCGACCATCGATGCCTCTGGCAGTCCGACCCACCCTGTGGATGTACTCCTGTGGGAGAAAAATCAACCTTAAGATTAGTCCTGTTCTGGGAATTTTTGATCAAACTCAATAATTTAACATGACAAACTAATGCTGCATATGCAATAAAAAAAAACCCAAAAACTTATTGACCTTGGGGTCATCTGGAGGGTCGTACTGCACGATCCAGTCCACCTCGGGGATGTCCAGCCCTCGAGCTGCCACGTCTGTGCACAGCAGGATGCCGGAGTCAGCGTTGCAGAACTGGAAGAAGGTGGTGGTACGTTTGGTCTGCTTTTGCTTGCCCTGCGAAATGATACAAAGCAAAGGAACGCTCAGAACAGCTGCAGCTGCAGGTCAACATCTGCTCACCGTCACCCTTCAAATATCAAAGGATAAAATAAAACAAAAGAAAAACCATTTGCTTCTAACATCAGCCAACTTATTTTTCACAGGTACAACCAAAGAACTTTAACTTTTAGAGGCTCAGTTTTTTTGACCACTTGTATATTTAGATAAGATTCATGTAAGCTGCGTCTGGAGAACTTACGTGGATGGCCATGACGGGCAGGTCGATGTAGTTGAGCAGTTCATAGTGGAATTTCACAGACATGCAGGAAGAGAAGAAGACCATCAGCTTCTTCTTGCGGTTCTTCTTCAGGAAGGTGAAAAGCAGCAGGAAGCGCTTCTCTGATGGACACACCACATAGCCCTGAAACAGGAGAGAGAGAGAGAGATCACTGCATCAGCAACGAGAAAGAAGACTGAGTTCTAGCTGTTTCTGTGATTTCAGACCATCTAGTAAAACTGATGTGATTTCATGAAATACTGAAAGGATTTCAGTAAAAAGGATGAAAGGGAAACTGGCTTCTTTGGATTTGGCCTGTATGCAACAGTTTATGACTGAGTACCTGCTCGAGGCCATCAACAGTGGCCTTGTCTTTGTTGTCGTCCACCCCGACATACAAGGGCTCCTTTTTCAGGGAGATGCGAGCCAAGTCCTCCACCTTCCTTGTCTGAGTGGCTGAAAACAGCATCGTCTGCCTCCGCTCTGAGAAACATCAAAGAGAGAAAGTAAACAGAACAGGTGAGAGGGTTTAACAACATCTGGAGTTTTAAGGACTCTCTCAGGATATTTTACACTCAGGGTTAGGATTTGATCCAAGATCAGCTAATCCTGGTAACACTGGTCAGGTTTTTTCAGCTCTTCAAAGCCAATGACAGATGTTTGAGGGTTGTGACGATGTTCGGAATTTTTTTGCTGAATTAAAAATGAATTAAACTAAAAGCACGCGCTTAGGGCAGTGGAGAGCTCATTTACTGTTTCAGAGAAAGCCAAGGCACATCAAAGAAATGAGAATAAAACATTTACAATACAAGTCTTTATAAAACAGGAAGCTGCTTCATGTCACAGGTTAGTGGTCAGTTTTTTAAATACAAAAACAGGAAACCCCACATTTCTCTTTATTTACATGTGATTCACTTCCTCTTTTAGAGTCAGAGTAAAAAGAAGCAGCACCTCTCTCTCAAAACTACGATTGGTGTTACGCCAAAAGGTCACGATGACACATTATTGGCTCTACCTGAAACATTTTTTTTTAACTGGACTGATTCCACAGTGTTTGATGTCACTAAGGTCCATGATTTAAATACGTTTAGACTGAACAAAAATGCTCATGAGTTGGTTTTACTTTGCTGCTTTGGAAATCAAAACGCTTCTTCAAAGAACTAAAAGTTTTTTGTGCCAAATCATCAACTAAATCAATGTTCATAAATTTCTCACTATTGGGTTTATTGATACTTTCACTGATACATACTCGGCAGCAGTTTGATGATCTGCTTTAGCTCCTCCTCGAAGCCCACCTCCAGGATCCGGTCGGCCTCGTCGATAATCAGACACTGCAGGTTCTTGTACATGAAGCCGGACGTGTTCTGTAGATGTGGAACAAGCCACTCAGACGGTGTTCTTCTTAAAGTATTAAAAATGAGAATGAAGAACAGAGAACTTTGTTTCTGCTCACCTGCAGGTGGTCCAGCAGGCGTCCGGGTGTGGCTACCACGATGTTGACGCCGTTGGCGAGCTTCTGGGCCTCAGCTGAGCGGTTGCTCCCTCCCATGATCAGACCGTAAGTGTGCACGTGGTGCGTCATCAGCTCCTTCAGCACGCCGTAGGTCTGCATGGCCAGCTCGCGTGTAGGAGACAGGATGATGACGCCGGTGCCTGAGATGAAAGAGAGCAGTTACAGAGTTAGCGAGTGAGAAAGAGGAGGATGAAGCTAAGCAGGAGACGAGGAGACTCAGACGGCAGCTCACCATTCCTGGGCATGAACTTGAGTTTGTAGATGAGCTCGATGCACGGAATGAGGAAGGCCAGAGTTTTACCGCTGCCTGTCTTTGCCGCAGCCAGGACATCCCTGCAGAGTGGAGCAAACGATTTCATGTTATTCCGCCGCCTCGGCTGAGCAGCTCAGAGTCTAAGTGGACAACCAACCCACCTTCCCTCCAGCAGAGGGCGGATGCTTTTGTGCTGGATCTCGGTCATGTGCTCGAAGCCCATGCCCTTCACTCCCTTCAGCGTGTTCTCGCTAACTATACTGGCGAGAGAGGCAAAGGATGTGTCCTCGAACGCCCCTGAAACAGACGGAGAATTGTGGTCATATTACATCATGGTTTGATTATGCACAGGTTTATAGTGCTTCTGCCATGAATGTATTTAGTACAATACTTGAATGTCATCATAAAAAGACATAAGATAAAAGCAGTTGTGAGGTTTTGCTGACTGACCAGACTAGAAACAGTCTCAAAGATCAACTTCTTCCAGTGATCCAGAAGCAATTTGGTGACATTCTGTGCAATTTCCAGCATTACGGTGCCCCATGTCACAAGGCAAAGTGACTCAGAGGTCATTAGATTAACATAGTCTCATCCAGAATCTACGCTCAGTCCTTAAAAAACAGATTGACATGCAGAACAAGGCAGGAGTGGATCTCCACCAGGAGCTGATCTGTTTATTTACAAATACACAATGTTTGCCGTCTAATGATTTAAATTGTTTCCCAACAAGTTAAAGCTGTTTTACCCTGTACGAATGAAAGACCTTGCAGATTTTTTTTTTATTATCATTTAATAATTAATATCTCTATTATTATCCTTGGGCAAGATACTAACCCCATGTTTGCCTACTGGTGGTGGTCAGAGGGCCCGGTGGGCCAGTGTCCGGCAGCCTCGCCTCTGTCAGTGCGCCCCAGGGCAGCTGTGGCTACAATGTAGCTTGCCATTGCCAGTGTGTGAATGTGTGTGTGAATGGGTGAATGACTGAATGTAGTGTAAAGCGCTTTGGGGTCCTTAGGGACTGAGTAAAGCGCTATAAAAATGCAGGCCATTTACTATTCACTTGAAACTGACCAAAGAAAAAATTATTTTCTCTTCTGTTTGTGTTCTTCTATAAATCTTGAAGCTTTTGACTGGTCAGAATTAAGATTTTAGTTTCTTATAAATACTGTTTATTTTATTTGAAAACACATTTACAGTACATTTATCATTTTCCAGTAGAAAATAAATAATATTCAAGTCAAGAGTAACCTCAACTTCACTTGGGAGCAAAAAGGAATCTTTAAGCTTGACAGTGGTTTTAGTGATTTGAATTATTATATTATTATATTATAATATTGTGATATAGTTATTGACTAAGATGTAAAAATTGTGATATAATTTTTCTTCCATATCAGCAAGCCCAAGCTGAACAGGTGTAAGGAAGTGTCCAGTGTGTATTATAAACAGAGCAGAGATACGGTTTGATTCAGCGTGTCCTTACAGTCGTTCCTGTCAGAGGCGTCACTAAAGACGCCGCCCACAAAGACCACCGTAAGAGTTTCTGTATGCCTCAGCTGACACCCGGCTCATGATGGAAGCAGCGACCGGGCAACACATGAAGGCAGCACGGCAGAGCCGGCCTCTCCTGTTAACCGCCTCATATGCAATTAACCTGATTCACTCAGTACCTGTGAGTCCACACGGCAGCTCAGGCTCATCTTCCTCCTCTTCTTGTGGTTTGTCAGCAGCTGCATCTCCATTGTCATCTGCTACTTCTTCCTCCTCCGTGTCCTCCTCCCCATTTTCTTCTTCTTTTGCAGTTTTGCTCTTTTTCACGGCTTCAATCAGAACATGGACATTAACCGAAGCACCAACAAAGCAAACTTGAGTGTGTTACCCGTATAAAGGGCTCTGTTTTTACCTGGAGGTTCAGCACCCTCAGCCAGCTGCTTCCTTTTCGCTTTCTTCTTCATCTGAGTTTCCTCTGTGCTGGTCCCTTCCACTGGTCCCTCTTCCTCCTCCTGATTCTTCTTCTTCTTCTGTTTCTTCTTTAGCTCTCTGGGTACCTCCTCCTGGAGGCCGTTTGAGCTCACCGTCAGACTCACTGGAAGTATGATCAAAGTTTGTTGCTAATAAACCCCAAAGGAAAACTCTGGAAGCCTGGTTAGCACAGTGCTAGCTAAATTGTTTTGTATACTAATCTTTTGAGCTAGTATGCGGCGAAATGCGCATGCAGTTGTGTAGCAGAGAAAATATACCTGCATGCGCAGCTACAGTGAACCCAAACTCAGATTTAAACCTTAGAAGAGTAAAAAAAAGTTAGAAACGGACCAGGGAAGAGCGCTACCTGTTAGCTTAGCCTGCGACATCAGCGTTTACCTAGCCATCAAACACTCACCATCTTCTCCTTCTTCTCCATCTTCTCCTGTTACTTCGTCTTCCCGCTTCTTCTTCTGCAATTTGCGCTCTCTGTCCTTCTCGTTTCGCTTCTGGATCTTCTTTCGGAGAAGCTTCATCTGGAGGTCCGCCATGGTTACCGAGAACACGGCGCACACGTGTGTATGTGAATGACGCTCAGGACCCCTCGGTGGAACAGAGACAGATAGCGGCCCGCAGCGCCTGACTGAAAATCAAAAAGGACCCCGCGTGCTGTGAAAACAACCGAGATAATGCCTAAAAGAAAAGACACCTGAACACGGGAAAAATAATGAAATAAAGATAATCAACACTGAAGTGTGGAGTAATAATCATTAAATAATATGAAACATTTAAGGCACTACAGTTAGGGTACTAAAACACATTATCAGCAAGCTTTACTTATAAATCACCAAAAACTTTTTTCCCCGTTTTCTCAGTTTTGTTTTTTTTTTTACAATTTTTAATTGATTTTATTTATTTTTAAATAAACAAATAAGATATATTCTTTTGTGGCAGGAAGTTTGCATACATTGATGGAAATGAATGTATGCACAAATGACTGAAGACGCTATTAAGAAAAAATAAATAAATACATTTTAAAAATTTAATTTCTTTAATGTTAATTTTGCAGGGTGGAAATGCTGGAATAATAAATTAGTCTTGAAATACTGATTAAGGTAGAAATTTGCCTTTTTAAAAAGTATAAGCATAAATTTGGGGTTTAATTTGCAGTCCTGTTAGTTCAGGAGGAGCTGTGACTTACAGATCCTTTCCAAATAATTAGGATATCATGGAAGAGTTTGGTTATTTCCATAATTCTATTCAAAACAATAAACTTTCATAGATTATAGATTCAGGGCCCACAACTTAAACGATTTCAAGTGCTTATTTGTACATAATTTGGGCTTCCAGCTCATAAAACCCACAAAAACAGGATTTCAAAAAATTAGAATACTGTGAAGACATCAGCCCAAATTTTACAGGGCATGAATGTTTTAAACGGAGTTTCACACATAACTCATCTACTAACCTGAAAGCACCTGCACAGGTTTCCCCAGGTGTCATTAAATCGCTTCACTCAGTCACTTTTTTTTTTCCTGCAAAAAATGAGACGTTAATGGTGAGGTCTTCACAGCATTCAAATTTTTTGAAATCCTGTTTTCGTGGGTTTTATGAGCTGGAAGCCCAAATTATGTACAAATAAACACTACTTGAAGTACTTGAAATCATTTAAGTTGTGGGCTCTGAATCTATAATCTATGAAAGTTTAATGTTTTGAATAGAATTATGGAAATAAACTTTTCCATGATATTTGAATTTTTGGGAAAGGGTCTGTGGTGGGTTTCCATGCTTCCATCTGCAGGACAGGGGGGGAAACTGCAAATATTTCCTCATAAATCCATCACAGCTGTGTTTAGAGCTGGACAGGTTACTAATCCATAAAGAAAAGGGCCAACAAGGCTGAAAACAAGAGATTCTTTATTCACAACAGAAAATCCAAACAAGATTCAGACAAGTTTTTTTTTCTTCTTTTAGCTGGGTAACAAAGAGAGCTGCCTTGTGTTTAAAGCTAATTTCCTCATCTTATTCAGTTTTCTGAATGAAGACCATCCAAAAGTTCAACTACAGGCTTATAAACATTTACTTTGCAAAGGCAGAGATGTGTCTTTAGTTTAAATTCTAGCTATGGTGGCCCTGAGGTGAAAGATCCAAAAATAAAAGAAAAACTAGAAAAAAAATGACAGCCTTCTCTTCCATCCCTCCAAACCCTGCTCATCTTGCCCCGACAGACTCTCAAGTCAGTCCATGGCTAAAGGCTCATCTTCAATCTTTACTAAATCTGGCTCCCCATCTTTTTTAATCTCAAACACCTGAAGAATAACCTGAGGCCCGTTTGCACTCAACCCCTCTGCTGACTGCCCTGGATCGACAGGTGGTGCTAACTGACTCCTGGACACCCTCCTATTCTCCTCCCGCCTCTGCGACCTGCTTCCAGTCCTATGCCCTTTGTTCCTCCTCTTCCTCAGAAGCCTCTGGCTCCAGGAGATGTTTGAATACAGCTGCAGAGGATTGCAGCAGCTTTGCGTGCCATTCCCAGTCACTGAGGATGGCGCTTGAACACACCGCCTCCGCATGTCCTCCTCCACCGCTTTGAACACCAGGTCTGTGATGTCTCTGCGGAGCCTCATAAGCAGCACAGGGTCTTCAACCTGCCGCATGTCAGCCAGCATGACCTCAGCAAACTGGTTGAGGACGTCGTGTTTGGGTGCCGTTTTAACAGGTTGATTGTCTTCATCGCGATGATGCGGACAACTCAGAGACATGACCTCTGTGACCCGAGGCTGTGGACACTGAAGTGGGGCGAAGCTCGGGGCAGAGTCCATAGACTGGGGCTCATCCAAGTCTTGGCCACCTCCATCTGCATCCAGCTGGCTGCTTACTGAGCTGCCCATCTCCTGATCAATGTTCCCCTCAGTCTTCAACTCCTCTTTATCCTTCTCATTATGATCCACAAAGTTGTCCGCCTGCAAACAAAACAAACAAACAAAAAAAAACATGCAGTTTAGAGGATTTATAGATATATAGATAAAGCTACCCTGTGATGATGACAGCGTCAGTCGCTATGGAGCAGGCTATCAGTCCGAGCTGTCCAGCTGTATCCTCCTTTTATGCTGTTCAATAGGCTACTGAAGTTTAAACTTTTTAAAATTATGCAAAATTGCAAAACTCTTAGCTATGTCTCTAATAAAACCTCTGTAACTTTGCTCTGTTTCACTTCAGCAGCATCAGGCAATGTTCATATGTTGATTAATGGTTTTCTTTCGTTTTTGATCTACTGCACACAGAATATTTTTATAAAATCCCAGGCCAGGAAAGTCGCCTTCACGTTTTTCTGTGTTTTATCCTCAGTTACTTTGACACAAAGGCATCTTCTATGATGCTTACACCTTTGATAAAGTCTCGCAAGTGTCATCTTTCTTTTTACAGAAATAAAAATATGGAAATGTACAGATGCATGATCTGAATTGTAATATTTCTGACTGGGGCAAAATTTCCCCCGATTCCTCGATTCGAGACCTTGTGAATCGGATTGATTCTAGAAATCAGTGACGATACCCAGCACCATTGATTACCTCTAACTGAGACTTGTGTGAAAACCTCTGCACAAAGTTTCATGATTCAAAGCCGTGTATACTTGCTAGCATCTGCCTACTGGGAACGAACCCTCCTGGGTAGCGTTCTTCTGCCAGATTTGTTGAAAAGAATTTCCTCTTCCTACCTGCAAGCAGCCTTTCAGAAAATGAGTCGTTTGAGAGAAGAAGAACAAGCTGCAAAATTGTTTTTATATCTGACCCTGAAAAACTAGTTCAATTATTTAATTCTTACAGGCATTACTATTTTGACTCATTATTATCAGGATGTCCTCAAAACTCCTTGAATTTAATCATTAATTATTATTAATATCTGGCGCTCTTTCACAGTGCGTCTTTTGTCCTGTCTCCTTCTCCTCAGCCAGCTCCCTCTCCCCTCCCTTAGCCTAGTTCTTCCAGTTAAAAAGGACAATTTCCTCCCCACTGTCACCAAGTGCTTGCTCATAGAGGGTAGTCTGAATCTTGTTGTTTCTTTCTAATATTAAAAGAAATAAAATGGCTTTGCAAACACATCAGACCCAGAACAACTTAAGTACTTATTTTGAATTGAATATTTGCGCTCCACCATCTGAGAAACTATCCGGTTTCGATGTTCATTTGCTGTTCAATGCAGCGGGAGGTCGTCTGCTGCATTTATCAGTTTTGCTGTTGACTATGTTTCAGTTAAAGTCCTTAAAACTATATTAAAACATTTAAAGGCAAAAATGTAAAATGCTAAAAAAATGCTTGATCATTCTCATGAAGTCTTCCAAAAATTTCACATTAGACACAGCCCTCTGAGTTATTCTAAATATAAAGGACTTGCTGCTGCAACTTTAACGTCTCCCCCCCCAATTTTCTCACCGATTGATGTTGTTATTTCTTTAAACTGTGATAAGGACCTTCTTTAATATTTAGGAAATGTATTTTTCTCTTTGCAGACTTACCAGAGATGAATATCCTTTCCTGCGAACTATGTAAGGCCTCAAGAAACAGAGTTTCTCCCTCAGCTTCTCCTGCTGTCCAGCGCTCAGCATCTCCTGCTCTCCAGCGCACAGCTTCTCCTGCTCTCCAGCGCACAGCTTCTCCTGCTCTCCAGCGCACAGCTTCTCCTGCTCTCCAGCGCACAGCTTCTCCTGCTCTCCAGCGCACAGCTTCTCCTGCTCTCCAGCGCTCAGCTTCTCCTGCTCTCCAGCGCTCAGCTTCTCCTGCTCTCCAGCGCTCAGCTTCTCCTGCTCTCCAGCGCTCAGCTTCTCCTGCTCTCCAGCGCTCAGCTTCTCCGGGTGATACAGCACCCTCCCGTACTGTGTCCGCAGAGACCTGGTCCTCCTCTCCACATCAGACACTGGAGAAAACACGAGACACATGCAGTCGTGAGAGTGCCTAACGGTGCATACTTGTTATGGTAAATAAGAATAACTTTATTTATCCCGAGGGAAATTCTTTTGTCATGTACATGCTCAAAGTAGCAGGAGAGCCAGAGGAACAGATAAATAAGATATACACAATAAGAATAGTAGTGCAAATGCGATAAATGCGATTCTTCTTACTGAATCGAGTTTGAATGAGTCACTCACCAAGATGAATCGGATTTTTTGAGTCAGTTGCCTAGAGAGTGCAAAAGTTTTTACATTTTCACTCAAACTTAATTTGTTTCTCTTTTCATATATATCCATAAGCAACTATTTTTATAAAGCATTAAAAAAAATTAAGATTTCTAAAGGGAACATGTATTTTTATATTATTAGTATTTTCCTCAGATGTGTCAAATATATATTTTCTCATCTAAATGTCCACAGAGCTGTGAGCCAGGGGGCGGTAATGCGCCTTAACATTGGTGGCCAACCAAGAAGAAGAAGCTGTGAGCCACAAGGGAGAGGGTGAGTGAATGGCTGTGTCCCAATTAAGGGACCGCACGCTTGAAGTACGCATTTTGAGTGCGATTATGTCACCGCCACGCGACGACGGCTGTCCCAATTTGAAGTGTACTTCAAATGCATACTCCAAATGCACCATCGATTTCCCCAAATATCAAGCGTGGTCCGGTGCACGCTTCGTGGTCCCATATATCCCACAATTCATAGCACGGCGGTGGGTGTGGATAATTTTGCCGCAAAATACGGCAGAAGGGAGCGGCCGAAGAGTGAACTGTCAAAAGTAAGTACAGAATATCATGTCACTTATATATGTGCAAATGTTTAATAATGAAGAACATTAAAACATTACTGTTGGCCACAGGTTGGCAAAGTTATGTGACATTAGTGATGTTTGTACTTTCAGCGTTTACTTGGTTTTAAAGCCTCTACACACACACACATACATACACACATACAGTTGACCTTAGTCTTACAGAGAATGTGATGATTTTATGGATAATTAAAGTCAGTCATGTATCCACAAACACAACAAGCTGAAAGTCCGTGATGCTGCTCGGTTTGCAGTCCTGAATATCACAGCACAAGCAGGATTCACCGCACTGTTAATGTTAGCTATGTTATATTGCTGCCTCTGTTCGGTGGTGTCGAGCCAAACGGACTTTAACGTGTGTTTGAACGAGCTGACGGTTTACTCGTTAAGCACATCATCTGTGAGGCTTTGCACCCCTGATGATCCACCAGGACAAACTCAGCAGTGTGTGAGGAAGAGGAGGAGGAAGAGCCAGCAGCAGCTGACAGACGGAGAGAATAGACCGACTGAAACAAGTTTAATATTCAGAAACCTAAAGTATGTATCAGCAGCAGAATGGACCTAAAAATAAACGTTTGTTTCAGTTCTATGAAGCTTTGAGTATTTTGGATTAGTAGCACTGCTGTGTTTGTTGCATCATATTGTTGTAATTGTTTATATGCTTTATATATTCTGAGGTAAGTTGATCTATAGTGTTACATCATATTCTATATGGATGTTATGTGTTTGTATACTTTCTGCCCAATTTGACCCATTTAGCAGAAGTCAGCCTGTTTAAGGCTCTGATATCTATTCTGTATGACTTAAAGCAGTTATGACGAGGTGTGATTTTCTCACCCAATAAAGGAATATTTAATATATCAGTCTACTCTTCATTCTATCAGAAACAGTTTTCACAGCTTGTACATTTTCCTTTTTACACATATATGTGAGCATTGAGCCAAATGTAATAATGCCAACATATTAAATGAACAATATTTGTCTCTTATGTATAACACATCTATATATACACTGTCAAAGATACTTGTCTTTGAGTGAAGATTTAAGGTGATAGGAAATATAAATAACTGCAACTTGAATCTTTGACCCAGAGTTCAAGCTCACTGCTGTAATATATCCTGTATATTTTATTTTTACATTACCACAGTGAGATGACTTTAGTCTCATGACCAACATTAGCTAATTGTTATTTACTAACTAATCTTGAAATGACTGTTCAGTACAGAAATGAAACCCAACTATCATGTTTTACAGTCCTGTGGTCTTAGCCTCAGATATTCAACTAATCAAAGTGATGTCATGACAAAAATGAATGACCAACAAAACATTTTTTCTCCTTCATTTAGGACACACAATGCTGTATGTAACGTTTCTCGCAGTTAGTATCATGGTTGCTAGGCAACCTGAGCAGCGCAAAGAGGGCTAGACTGGCCCATTTCACAGGCCTCTCACTTCCGCACTTCTCCTACTTATAGTGTGCATGCTTCAAGCATGCAGACCCTGAATTGGGACACAGCCATCGATTTGTTCATGCTAAGATTCAGCACAGGAAAGGGGGGGGGGGGGGCCTGAGTGACTCAAATGTTCTGTTAGCATGTTAGCAGAGCGATGCTTCTACTCAGAGTTTGTTCTTACAATTCAGAGCAGAAATGTTTTTGTTAAGAAACTGGCAGTTGTTTCCCCCCCGCAATTTTTATTATAAGCTAGATATATTTGTACTAATGAAATTAGTTTGCTAACAGCAACAGGGATGAGTCAGTGAATGAGTCAGTTGGGTTTGTGAATCATGATTCACGAGTCAGTAAAGTGCTTCTCGAGTATTGAACGATTCGTTCATGATTCGCACATCACTAGAGCACACACACCGAACGCGACAGAAGCATCAGAATCAGAATACTTTATTGATCCCTGGGGGAAATTATTTATATATACCTATATGAGAACATGCATAAATTAACTGCCTACATTAATTCATTGTAAACATACCTTCTGACTGGGACTTCGCTGCTGCCTCTTCGGGCTGTCTCTGGTCCTCGGGAAGGATGTTCTCCAGGGTCCGCACCATATTGCAGCTAGTCTCCCGCGGGGTGAGGAAGGGGTCCAGAAACCCCATGACCGTGTAGAACCTCCATTTCCTCCCCTTTACTGCTGCAGACCCACTACTCTTCTCCTTAACTACCCTCTTCTCCTTGGAGTATGTGTCCCTGAGGCTCTTCCACTTTCTCCTGCAGATGTCCTCTGAATAAACACATTCTCTTGTTAGCGGAAAGGTATTTGTACATCAGTGGGAAATAGTGGGACAGTAGGCGGGCTTGCTAGCTTTGACGCGGCTTCCCCGGGTCAGTGAAAAAATTTAAAAAGAGAAATTAATGAACTTACCAGGTTGCCCTATATCTTTACATATCTTTCTCCAAGCTAGGTCCTTTTTATTCCTGTCTCGGTAGAAAGCACAGTTGATGTCATACAGCTCTGGGTGGCTGGCTACTGCCTTGATGAGCCTTTCCCACATATTGAATGAAGAACAAATGACTTTGGCTGGACCTGCCCCTTTGAACTAGGCCAGAGCGTCGCGTCACCAGGTTCCTGATTGGTTGTCGTGGCGCGACTTGAAGCTGGGGTCCGGTTTTTTCCAACTTGAGCGGCAGATGCGATAAGCACGAATGCATAAAATGCAGCGTGTATTTTATTTTGCGTCAGTCGCGATACTTGGTCGCGCGAATCAGGCAGAAAGCGATTTCGCAATGCAAATCTACTTGTGAAGTTTAGCGGGACCCCCAGTCGCGCTCCTCGCGCTCCTCCAGTTACTTCTTCTTTTTCTGTATAGGGTTTATTGGCGGTTGGCAAACAGCAAAACGGTGCATTACCACCACCAACTGGTGTGGAGTGTCCTCAGTTGACTTTACATGTAAACCAGAAGCTCTTCTTCTTCTTCTTGACGGAGGCTCGCGAGATGGCGGACTGAGCAGTGGCATCTGTCTGAACCAGTGAGTGTTTTCTACAGTCAATGGTAGAAACCCAGGTACGGGCTGACATCTGACTAAAAAAGGAATACACAGTGGAACATTTCGGATGATGGGACTTTTACCTCAAGACTTTCCTACTCCACCTCCTAAACCTGTTCTTTAAAGCTGTTCATGTGTTCCGTGTTCCAATTGAAAACGAACATTTCTTTTTTTCCCTTTAACACAAGGGAACTTAAAGACTCAATTAAGCATAAAGCTGTTTTCTGTTCTGCAAGGGGCGACAGGCAAATTGTTTTTTTTTCCTCCAGGAAACTCATTCTGAGGAATCTGATGTGAAGTTTTGGTCACAACAATGGGGAGATAAAAAAAATTTTTAATCATGGTACAAACAGGTCTGCTGGGGTTGTTTCAACAGATGTCCTGGTAGGTTTTTGTGCAATATGGCAGACAAAGATGGACATTGGGTTGCCTGTGTGTTAAATACTGATAATACTCTCATTATTTTGATCAATGTTTATGGATTCAACAATGATCAAGAGAATAAGAACCTTTTGTATCAAATTTCTACAGTTATAAAGGAAGTTAATACCAAATTCCCCACTGATTATATTGTAGTTGGAGGTGATTTCAATGTGACTCCCGAATGAATGGTTGGATAGATGGCCTTCAAAATTTTCAAGAGAACATAAAAACCCAATATTTGAAATTTTCGCTAATGATACTAAATTAATAGATGTATGGAGATACTTAAACAAAGATGTCAAACAATTCACCTGGCACAAACCTAATGGTCAAAGCAGGTCACGTATTGATTATTGGTTGGTATCCAACTCAATTTTACAATAGGTTAAGGAAACAGTTATCTCTAATGGCCCCATAAGTGACCATTGCACCATTATGCTAAGATTATAAAGCAAAGACCAAAACAACACATTTAAGGATTATTGGAAATTTAAGTCTCAGATGCTGAGAAATGAGGAGTATTGTAATTCTATTAAAAAAATAATAATTTTAGATATCCAGAATGACGAAGCCATCAATACACCGATACTCAAATGGGAATATCTTAAATTTAGAATCAGAAAAACCTCAGTCACATTCGGTAAAAAGTTAAACAGACAAAGGAAAGAAGGGGAATCAAACGTAGTAAAAGAACTTATGAATCTTTATGGCAAATTGAACTGGACTGAGGAAAAAAAAGGAAAAATTAACAACTTACAATCTAAATTGGACAAAATATACCTTCATAGAGCCAACGGCACTTATTTGCGATCCAAAGCCAAGTGGATAGAAGAGGGTGAAAAGAACACTGCCTATTTTTGCAATCTAGAAAAACGTAAACAAGAATATAATTCAGTATGTAACCTAATAATCAACGGAGAGGAATGTACAGACCCTAAAAGCATTTCAAATGAAGTATTTACTTTTTACAGTAACCTTTATAAGTCTTCATACTCAGAACAAATTATCACCTCCTTCTTTGACAAAATCAGTATTTGGATTTCAGTAATTGATGATAATTTTAGAGAAATTTGTGATGAAGACCTAACTATAGAAGAATTTGATTTTGCTATCAAGAGCTTGGCATCTGATCGCTCACTGGGACCAGATGGAATAACAACTAATTTCTATAAGCACTTTTGGGAAGATTTAAAATTACTATTATTCAGTGTGTATTAATCAAAAGGAGCTTATGACAACAATGAAAGAAGGAGTTATAAAATTAATTCCAAAACCAGGAAAAGATAAGAAAAAACTAAGTAATCTAAGACCTATAACACTCTTAAATAGGGACTACAAAAGTTTTAGCAACCAGACTAAAAACGGGTATTTCTGAAATAATTAGCCCAACACAATCAGGATTTCTCAAAGGACAGTTGATCCAAAATAATATCCGCTTGGTTTCGGACCTTATCGATTACAATTACCTAATTGAGGATGATGATTTTATGTTGTTCTTGGACTTCCATAAAGCATTTGATTCTATCGAACACACTTTTATTATTAAGACATTTAACCATTTTGGGTTTGGAGATGCATTTCTGCATATGATCACTATGTTATACACTGATATTAATAGTTGTGTTTCTCTTCCAGAAGGCACATGTTCCAGGTTCAGGGTGGAGAGAAGTATCAGGCAGGGCTGCAGCATCTCACCTCTTTTATTCATTGTAGCCACTGAACTACTTGCTATTACTGTCATAAACTCAAACATCAAAGGATTAGACATAAATAACCACAAATTAATAATAAGTCAGCTTTCAGATGATACAACAATATTTCTAAAAAATAAAGAACAAATTCCATTGGCCTTAGATACAATAAAGATCTTTTCTGATGCTTCTGGACTACGCCTGAACCTGGACAAATGTGAACTCATGAGTATCCACAATTGTTCTCACTCTTCTTTGTACGATATACCTGTCAAAAATGAAATCAAATATCTTGGAATTTGGTTAACTAAATGCATGGCTGATAGTGAAGAAAAGAATATTCAGAATACAATTGGCAAATGCAAAATAAACTCTAAACCATTGGCTACAGAGAGATTTAACGTTGTTCGGCAGGATAATGTTAACCAAGGTTGAATCTTTGTCCAGATTAATCTATCCAGCTTATTCCCTAGCCATCCCACCAAGGATTATAAAAGACATCAATAAGGTGAATTTTAATTTCATATAGAAAAATAAACATCACTATATAAGTAACAGGGACTTGATAAAAGACTATGAAGAGGGGGGTTTAAGAGCAATAGATTTTGAAATAATGAATGGCATGTTAAAGATTTATTGGCTTGATCTTTCTTAAAAAATGACAATGAGATCTGGTTCTTGATACCATCTCTTATTTTCAACAGAGTTGGGGGGATCCAATTCCTATTAGTATGCAATTTTGAAATTTCTAAACTGCCCATAAAACTCTCCAAATTTCATCACAAAGTTTTGTTAAATTGGAAATTAATGTTTAAACATAACTTTAGTCTGTCTGTGAAGGTTCTCAGTCATCCAGGTCATCGTAGTCAAAGGAGCTTGCAAAGAAAAGCGTCTGGACTTCTTTAAGTTGCTTGAAGACGTTTCACCTCTCATCCGAGAAGCTTCTTCAGTTCTAAGGTCACATGGTGGAGAGTCCCAGATATAAGCCTAGTGGGAGTAACCCCCCACAGAGGGACAAAAGGACCCCCTGATGATCCTCTAATCGCCTGAGCCAAGGTGGGAAACTGGGCGTGGGTCCCAATCAGCCAGAGTTTCGGGTGTGTTCATTGTGAAACCTGGCCCCACCTTATCATGCGAATTCCTGAGGTCAGATGGCCCAGGATGTGAGTGGGCGTTAAGGCGTCTGGGAAGGGATCTCAATAACTTTAGTCCCCACAACGGTCCATTGTGGAATAATAGGGTGATATTGAATCGGGGGAAATCTACGTTTGTGGAAGAATGGATGACAAAACAAATTTGGTCTGTGACACATATAATGGATGAAAATGGAGATATACTTGAATTAAACAGGTTTAATGAGAAATGTGACAGGAGTTGCTCGTTCGAGCTCTATAAAAAGGTTTCACAGAATATCCCAACAGACCTTGTCTATACGATAAAGAACAATTTTTCAAATACACCGACTCCAAATTTACATACAATTAAACTAGATGGTCTTGACTTGGTTAATGAAAAATGCAATAATCACTTTTTGAGGAGGTATTTGGTTAACACTTTATATCAAAGTAGGTCAAAACACTCACTCATCTTTAAAGATTATAACAAATCTGAGATCTCGTTGATGATATTAATATTTGAAATTTCCAATCCCCCCCAAACTTAAAGAAGTCAATTTTAAAAATACAAAAAATATTTACCCCTCCAATGAATTTATGAGAGAAAGATTTAAATTTGTGTCAGACAACTGTTATATTTGTAAAACAACTTTGGAAACAACAGAGCACATGTTTTATGGGTGTGTGACAGTCCGGAATTTATGGAAATCTCTCCATGTCCTAATATTGTCCCAGTATGGAAATAATGATTTTTGGTCTTTTCAAATAGTGATGTGTCGGTTGCGAACGAAACGGCTCTTAGAGCCGACTCTTTGAAGTGAACGACACCCTCTCTCTCGCACTTTTTCCGCTTCACTCTGCACGCGAGGGAAGGGGGGGAGGGGCGGTAGTTACACTCGCAGTAGCACAGGAACACAGCCGGAGGGAGAGACAGAGAAAGAGAGGCAGGGACAACAACGTCACATTAGAAAGGTATAGTAATCATCCACAACTATTTTCAGTTGCAGATGATAAAGGATTCAGAAAGTTTATTAATGCAGGTCCATATGACAGAGAATATGCATGTTCTTTTTGTTTTCATATTTTAATTTATATTTCATTGTGTTGTGGTTTGCAGTGTTTTGTGTTGTTTCCCTTTACATTTATTTAAAAGAAAAAGTTGAAAATTTAATTAGTTAAAAGTTGAAATGTAAATAGTTGGTTTTTGTATTATATTATTTATTTATTACATTTTATGTGGAGTGAATAAATAAAAGTATATTTACGGTGACTCCTAGAGACAAAACACCTACAAACTCCAAAACACGTACAAAACACAACGGAAGTACTCCAGGATGCTAGGCGCAGTGTTGAGCTTTGTACATGATCTAGGGGCTAGGGCTGGGCTTTTCCTAATCAATGAATCTAGCGATTAACTCATTCACTGCCAGCCATTTTCAAATCAGGTAACTCCCCACTGCCAGGGTTTTTGAGCATTTTTACTCATTTTTGAAGAGCCACAGAAAACTGTGTGTTATGATCATATAAACGCTGAACCTACCAAAATGAAGAACAG